CAGGGCACTCAAGGGTACAATGGATGAGTTGGTGGCCGTCCCTGACCATGGGGTCACAGAGGGTCAGTTGGTCAACCTCTTTTACCGGGCTATGCCCGAAGCCTTTCGAGGGCAGTTCTTCGCGAAAAGCGAAGACCCTGCCACCACTTACGATTCTCTTAGTCGTGAGGTGGTGGCTTTTGAAGCAAAGTCAGTGTCTCTGTCTACCTTCTGGCACAAAGACTTGGACAGGGGTAAGCAATGGAAAGGCCGTACTATCTCAGGGCATGTAAAGACCAAGGATAGCCTTGTCCTGACTTTAGATGAGGGTAGTGTGGATGAGATTCCCTACGACCGGATTGAGTGGGGATTAGAGGAGGCGAACAGCGGTGTGGGTCAGGGGAGATCCTACGCTGCTGTCGCGGCCGGAGGGAGGCCGCAAGGAGGACGAGGCCAGGGCCAAGGGGGCCGGGCCTTAGGGAGCCGGTTCCAGGGCGATCAGGGGGTTGGCGGTAGAGGAGGAAACCGCCAAGCGGGAKGCAGGGGTCAAGGTCCCCCACAAAACCGTCCTTGGAGGAGGGCTCCCTATAGAATAGGAGGATGGCACCCAGGGCTTCCTCAGGGTAGGCCTTGGGAATCTTTGGGTCTGRACCAGGCTTTATGGCAACAACGATTGGACCGGGGCCAGTGCATTTTCTGCGGTGACCCGGGCCATATCATCAAATATTGTCCTAAGTATAGAGAGACCCAAACGGCTGCCCCAGGGCCAAAAGGCAGCCGCCGGTAGGGGTAGCAACTGCCCCTACCATTAGGCCATGTGGGGAACATAGCGCTAGCCGGCAGGAGACTCTCACACCACATGTGCCTATGGCAGAGGTTGCAGGCCGGTGTCTAGATAGCTGCCCAGAGACCAGGATCTCTCTAGACACCTCCCTGACAGGCGTGGCCAAAGAGTTGAAAGAGAGGATACCCGCCTGGGCCCAGATGAAGAAGGAGAATAAAGGGCAGCTTATATTGCTAGATACAGAGATTTTTAGAAGTAGAGTAGGGGCCYTAGTAGACTCAGGGGCCACCCGCAGCTATATTAGTAGGAAGGCGCTGCAGAAGTTGAAGYTGGGACTTAAAGTCCAAAAGCTAGCAAACCCTATAGTTAGTATCCTCGCAGACAATCGTACCATGGTTGTAGAGGATTACGTTGAGAGAGTCCAGGCGTATTTTCGCCTAGAGAAGGATGGAAAAGTGGAAATGGTCCTCCACTCCCTGACTCTCCTCGTAGAAGACAGCCTCCCATTCGACATTGTTCTGGGAATGGATTGGGGTGAGGCAGCCGGGGCCACGCTCCGTTTGAAGGAGCACGAGTGTAGGCTCCCTAGTTCGTCAGACCAGGCCAAGACTACCCGCCTGTTTCATGCGTCAGGGGTAGAGAATTCCTTGGCGCACTGCTGCCTTAGTGCCCCCGCGTTCGCCCGATTGGTGAAAAAGAAAAAACTAGAGGAACAGGTTTTTGTTGCCTATATTAGGCCAGTGACTGAGCCTAAGGAAGAGAAGCCCGTAGACCCTACTATTGCCAAATTGCTGGAAGAATTTAAGGATTTAACTAAGTCGCCGATAGGCACGGTGCCGCGGCCCATCCAGCACCGTATTGAGATAAAGCCTGGCAGTAGAACTCCTAAGGGTGCTGTATATAGGATGTCCCCGCGGGAGTTGGAAGAGCTACGGAAGCATTGGACGAGCTTCTCGAAAAGGGTTGGATTAGGCCCAGTTTGTCTCCTTTTGGAGCCCCTGTTCTCTTTGTCCCTAAGAAAGAGGGAGAGCTGAGGATCTGTATAGACTATAGGGGTCTGAGTGCTATTACAGGAAAAAAATGCTGAGCCACTGCCTAGGATAGACAATCTCTTAGATCGAGTGCAGGGGGCGAAGTATTTTTTTAAGATAGATTTGAAGTCCGGATATCATCAAATAGAGGTGCATCCTGATGATCCGTATAAGACAGCCTTCCGGACTAGATATGGGCACTACGAGTTCATAGTGATGCCCTTTGGACTAACCAATGCGCCAGCTACGTTCCAGCGCTGTATGAACGATTTGTTCAGRCCGTGGTTAGATAGATTTGTTATAGTGTACCTAGATGACATTCTAGTGTTTAGTAAGACCCTCGACGAGCATCAGGGCCATCTCAGGCAGGTCTTGGAGAAGCTGAGAGTAGCTAACTTCAAGATCAATGCAAAGAAGTGCAATTGGGCGAAGGCCCAAGTTTTGTATTTAGGCCACGTCTTAGACGAAGACGGCGTTAAGCCAGAAGATAGCAAGATCGCAGCGATTAGAGATTGGTCCACACCACGTACGCTGACAGAGTTGCGCTCGTTCCTGGGCTTAGCAAATTACTACAGGAAGTTCGTGAGGAACTTCTCCACCATCGCTGCGCCCCTTCGCAGATTGCTATAGAAAGAGACAATCTGGAAGTGGGACAAGGACTGCACGTCTGCCATGAAGAAGCTAAAGCAGGCGTTGATAGAGTACCCGGTCCTTAAGGTCGCCGATCCGTCCTTGCCTTTTGTCGTTACTAC